CGCGCCCAATGGGGCTCGCGACCGAAGCGGCAATTTACGTTTCTCCTGCCCGCCTCCCCATTTGAGCTTGGTTATTCCACATTGAAGAAAGAAGCAAAGAACTTGTAGAAAACGTTGAAGCTCGTATATAGGGACAATTGTTGGCCCTCGATCACGACTCTGACACTTACTCTTGGCCCCAGGCCCATTTGACGTCAGCATAGCGCTAAATAGCCCCTGCGTGCGGGTTGACAACGATTCAAGTGCGGGAAGCTCTTGCACCAAATTGACGATGATCTGCACCATATTCGGAATCGAGTGTGGTGCTTGTGACTAGAGCGAATAGCACCCGCAGCCCAAGCTTCAGCAAGTATTTCCTCATTAGTGCTTCGACAGCGTGATACTCGAAAAGAGCTGTTTCGTGAAGTATTGGTGTAGAGAAGGTACCTTTAAATGGCATGTATCTCGACTGGTAGACGGTCTATAGGACCACGCGACGTCGCGTGCGTGGCAACCTACAGACACCGCAGCTTACAATAGAGCGCACGCTCGCGATAAACTTGTTGCATTGGATCTGAATGTGTTTGCTTGAAGGCAGTTGGCACGATAATTTGGTACTTGGCCTAAAATGCTAGCAGGGCGCTATATAGTGGGGAAAATGGCGAAAAAACGAAGTGAAACGGTCTAAAAGTCGCGCCGAAAAGACCATTCTTCACTACACCGAAAGCAATTTCGGACGAGTTCCCATAGGCATCGGGCCAATAACCGCTACGGTAGGTACGGCTGCACGTATGCACCCATATATCCATGCAGCACCGCGGCCGCTTCATATCAATCCCTTCGCTTCATATTTACTTCGCAAATGAAGCAATACGAGCATCAGGTACGGTCGTCCATTTGTGGGCGGGCGGGCGGGCGTTCGGGTCGGTATGTTGTAGCTTGATAGGGCCTTATAAGGGTACCTTCCTTGGAAAAGGCGCTACGCAGCGCCTGCTCAGGGTCGCGGAATTCCGTCCTGCCAGGCGTATTAATCCTACTCGTCTTAGGGATTTATCGTGCCAACTACCTTTGAGATTTCAGCCACGCTTTTCACTCTGGTGAGACCTTGTCTGACTGTTGGATCGTTTTATTTGCATAACTAGAGTGATAACATAGCAATTATAGTGCATGGAAATTGACATGAAACCTGCCGCAGATTCACCTGGCGAGTTTATTTAGTTATCTACTGTCCTAATCATTTGACTCTCACAATACTTTCTGGACACCATACACTCGAACACCGTACTTGTCGTAGTGATGGGGTACGACGGACTCTCCTGTTGAAAAGGTTGCAGCGGAATGTCACTGGAGCGATAATAAGACCATCACGAGCGTACAGCCGATCGTAACCAATCAGTATTTGGATTATCCGCCGTGTGAGTCCTACGTCATACACTCATCGGCTATATTATTTAGCCAGACACCAAGAGAGACAAGAGGACGGAAATGGAAAATTCAGAAGTCTGCTCTCATCTTCGAAGTCTCTTAAGCGGGCCCAAACTATAAAAACTTCCATCTCGTCTTGCCATTCAGAATCCAGCACCCTGTCCACCACACGTTCGTCCGTAGAATTTTAGTGTAATATAGTTCACATCAGTATTCTCCATCTAATGGAAAAGTTTTTTGAATTTCAGCTCAATTCAGTGAGGTAATTGCCAATTAGCTGGGAAGTGTACTAGTTCGCGCGTGATACCGTGACTCGGGACTAACGATATGTCCCGTTTGGGAGATGTACGCGGAATGAAGCTGAGGCCATCGACTCTGGTCGCCTGTGCTCTATGAGATCTTCTTAACGGGAGGGGATCATTGTCTTCGTGGGAAGGCGCAGACGAGCATAGAAAGCCGCGCCGCCGCGTTCTCACTTCCAACTGTGGTAGCCCTCACATTAGCCACCCAAAATCCTTGAGATGCGGTAAGCGTGTGCGTACTGAAACAAAAAAAAATGGCGGCTGAGCTTTTCGGAGATATTTTGGTTGGGACAGTAGCAATCACGTCTTTGTTTAACACAGAACAAGAGTACAGTTGCTTCAAATTGAGATATCCCACGGGTAACCTACTCTATTCCATGTTTGAATGCCGCGCCCACTCGGTCCCAGGGATAAGGAGTGTAGGTTATTAGCCAGTCCCCATAGAATGGTAATTCTCGAAACCTGAAGAAGGCACTGCACCATAACCGCATTCTTTCGGAGAAAAAACTTCAAACCCCGCAATTTGAACATCTTCATTCGTCGCGTTTAGCATCAGCATTCTGAAAATATCAACATTACAACAGAAACAACAGAAAGAACAACAGATTACAACAGAAAGCTTAAGTATGAGTAACTCTCCCTGCGTCGACCAGACGTGCTCTCGCTGCGAGGGTCCAGGGGCACTTCTCGAGGCATCTACCAGTCCAGTACTTCAAGGGAGAAGGTAAAGGAGGAGGGATCAGAGAAGGGAGGAAGGAAAAGAAGGAAGGAGGAAGAAAAAAGGAAAGAGAAGAGAGGCCTCCCGGTTGACAAGTGCCCTGAGACGTGAGCACTTGCACTGGACGCCAATGCACACATTACATCGCAGTGCACGTCATTAATCCTGGCAGTCAGCCACTCACTGAGATCACGTCTTCGTGGAACCGTGCTCTTTTGTTTACATTGTCCCAGTCCATCTCTATGAAGTTCTCCGTCCTTCTAGGTTAGGGAATAGAGATAAGCAGCTCTGATGTTTTCAAGGAGAGAAGTGCCGCTATAGAAGTTGCGATAGTTATTGCGAAATCAGCGGTCGGAGCGGCGTTATCATATGAAATGTATTTTTGCATATGATCGCTGTACAATCAGCTCGCTTCTGAATGTGATTGAGCGTGAAAGTCATGTGTTCTTATTCCTCTTTCGCATAAAATCGATCTCTCCTGTTTCAGTTTTTCATGACCAATTTAGGTAAAGATGTCGGCTGTGGGGGATGAACGCAGCGACAAAAGAATGGAGCTTGAAAGGAAGAAGCAGAAGTTGGCCGAAATGAGGGAAGCCAGAAGACGAGCAGATGAAGAGAAAAAGCGCCAACTCCTCGCTTCTGTCCCTGTTGAGAATGGTAATCTTTTTTTATGGATATCATCTTCCGAAGCAATTTGCGGTTCAACAGACCGTTCAGTTGCAAATTTGCTTTCTCAACCTATTTGGCAATTTTCCCTTTGTCCACTCAAAACTTTCAAACTAGCATTAGCTCAGCATTACTGCGAATTCTATTTGTCTAATTGATTTAGCTTTTTTTAGGTATCACTAAGCAAAGTCTCACTTCAACTGAAGTACAAGAGTTACTCGCCGAAGTCGGAATACCTACTGAGCCAAGGCTAGAAAAGACTCCAGAAAGAACGAATGGTTTAAACGATAGCGTATGTTTTTGTTTGAAACAGCACTGGTAGTTTTGAGGGATATGTGACAAGACAATCGTGATTCGTCGCGTTGGTGGACGGTGGTCGCGTGCGACGTCGCGCGTTTCTAGCTCGTAGATGGATAGCATTATTTAACCAAAAAATAGTGAACGTCTAAGATGTTACAGTCTGCGGAAAATCCGCAATTCAAAAAAGCGGCCGCGCGCGACGCAGCGGCAAAGTACGATTGTCTTGACCGTATCCCTGTAAATAGCACCGTTTAGGACTACCACCTTTCTCCAATGGCTTCTCAAATTATGGCCGGGTCTCGAAGCTTGCAGCTTGAGTTCTCTAATGTTCACTCTGTGGCCATCCCGACAAAAGACGCTGTGAGTTTATGATTGGATAGCCGTTTTTCTTTTTTTGAGCTCTGTTGATGTTTTTCGTGGATTCACAGTAGTAAGCTCCTCTTAAAGAGTAAAGGCCTAGTGGCAGAGATGATGTAGTGGCACACTTACAACGCCCCCGGTCCGGGAATCGGATCCTGCCCCCCCCTAGGGTCAGACAAGCTTTCTGCTCCTCCGCCCCGGAGCAGAGCAGAAATTGGTACCAGATTCGTCTGGGAGAATGAAAACACTAACCTGTTCATCGAAAGCCACCCCCCCCCCCCCCAAGTCTTTGCATTGGTCACATCGCATCCAATAATTCTTTACGATTCTGAATGGATTGAATGCGTGCTGCCTCCTAAAAGGGATTGATCCTTTTGTGCAAAGACTTTGGAGGTTCGGCTTCGAGAAACCGTCGTACAAAAAAAACTTGGAAACGTAGAAGAGCAATAGCAAAAATACTGAAAGGTGGACACGGCGGCGCAACTAGGACTGCTCATCCATCACAGATCCTTCTATCCCAACCTGAACCTTGGGAGCACAGACGACCAGATTTGCCATGACATGGCACATCCGAACATCTCTAATGCCCCAGAAGGTAATGTCGGGAAGCTACCTTGTAATGAAATGAGCTTCAATTTCAAAATGCGACCCCCTTCTGACTTCAGAGAGGGGATGCGCAGACAGTTTTCAGTAAAATGAAGGTGCGGTGCTACTGACCAGGCGTGAGGAAACCAGCAACGAAAAAAAATTGCCAGGAATGACCCCTTCCGAAGTCTGAAACGGTCTTTTCTCTCAACGAGTCTGTCAACGCTACCCTATCTCCATGTATTATTTTAACCACGACCTCCCTGGAACTCGTTTCCGAATGGGGCGTTTGAAGGATCCTCTGGGCACTGCCGGGATTGCCAAAATGGTGTTGAGGGTTTTCCTAGCGCTGAATTGGTTAGGGAGGACAGGAACGGTAGTCACAGGGCCACGCGTCGAAGTCTTACAGCTGATTCCTCGCGATCGATCGTGACGGTGTCAAAAGCCCGTCCGCGGCGTTTTATAACCGGTTGTTATAACGTATACTAACCGATCACTATGGGTGGAGAAGAGGCGATGTCAGACGGACTCATTCCGCCCCTTGTGAACACTCCCCCCACCCTCCCCCTCTCCTCGACTGATTGCAACGATATCAATTATATCTTGGCCAAGGCCAGGACTAGCAGAGGTATACGATCGGAGATGGCGCCGCAAATCACGCTGACACAGCAGCGCTTTTACATGATGCTCCACCGAACTATTACATCACCCACCAGTTTTGCCTAGACCTAGGGAATGCGAAAGGATGTTGCGCACAAGTGTAATATATCAGTTTTGCACAAGAACTTTTTTGGCGCTTCCCCTCTTACACGACTTCTCCCGATGTATCTTTCAGAAATATTGGTCATGTGACTAACTACTCTGCACTTCAGTTTTAAGCGGTCAGGGATTTTGCTGAGTGGCGCCGTGGAAAATTCTGTTGTTTCCAAGTAAATCGGTAG